CTCCTTCTCCCCTGTGTCTCATGCATGTATGGGCGTGTGTGAGTTCTTCTGTGTGTGAGTGGCAAACAAATTGTCAGACAACCAAGTTCATAACAGTTGGTATCGGAGCGGAGATTGGACTTGGAACACTGAGGGTTGAGCGCAACAGGGGCATCCTCTTCTTCTGGCCCTAACTGGCGAGAAGGTCCATGGTGGCTCTGTATCTTCAGTGAAGATCCAGTAGAGAAGAGGACCTACAAGTGGTGATTGCAAAGCATCAGTGTGCGAGTGATCAGGAACCCTGAGCCTGTCTGAATGCCTGACAGGAAGTGGCGAGAATAGGGGTATTCCGCCACCCACCCTTTTGACCCCAGTTGATGACTGGGATCAGGGTGGCGAATTACACCCTAATCCAGTGATAACTGGGTGGCGGTTTCAATCCCAATACAGCGCTCAGGGAGGATTGATCGCAGGATCAATCTCCTGCTGAATTAACCGTACTCAGGGCTAAATTTAGCACCAGCGGCTTACCTCTGCAGTGGCGAGATATCTTCAGGAGAGTTTTCTCTCGCCACTGAGGTAGATCCAGTGCATCCGGGAGTTGGGGCTGAATCGCCACATCATACTGGACGGGATCAGCAAGTTTCAGGAGATTCTACGCGTGGGAATCAGTGGAAGAGAGTCTGCATGCAACTGGCGAGACCAGGGTCTGGCAGCCATAGCCAGAGCTTCATCATCCACTGTGTCAATCACTTCAAGTGAGTGTGTTCCGTGTGAATCCCTGTGTAGCGATTAGATTAGCATTAGTAAAGTTTGAATTGATGGTCTGTCTGTCAGTAGAGTCACAGTTTTGAAATTGTCAGACTGCAAGACAGCCATAGCCATCTTCTTCCTCCCTACCTTGACTCATATCTCACCATCCATTGACCTGTTCTGACTCAAAATTGTTCTGGGACTGTATGACAGTATTGCGCTGCACCCTGTATGATCATTCAGTGAATTCTGTACAGAAAAAGTAGTGATACTGAGGATTTGAGTTTTGCGCTGAGTCTATTTATAGTCTGGGCTATCTAAGGTCAGTCATAACTCGAAATTTGTCCGTCAGAATTCAAGTCTGTCAGTCTGGGGTGAATCGCAATTCAGTTTGTGTCATCTGTGCTGAAGCGCTAACCCATAATTGGTGAATTTGGGTCATTACAGTAAAATACTGAAAATCCCAAAATCTGGGAGTATTTCTGTTGATGTCAACAGTGACGAAATTTGAGTTTAGGGCTGTCAGGGTGTAGTCTACTGCATCGCTACTACTTGTTGTGTTTCAGTCAACTCTTGCCTGTATCGATCACTACCACTAATCTTCTTTGCTTCTGATGGGCCCTGGAATGTTAGAGACCTTTGGAATGCACTGAAAGAGTGTGTAGCAACTTCAGTGAAGGTTCAGGGTCGGGTATAGGAAATCGTGGATGAATGATTTTACTTGACACCCAGTCTGCCTGACTACTGACCCCAGTGGTTCTATTCCACCCCTAACCGCTTGTGCCCACTAACCCACCTTACCCTGTGAACTGACAGTGCAGCGATTTTGGAGTGTCTGAGTGAGCTGTAAATCGATGCACCTTTTGCTGTTTCACTTTATTATTTTTTTTTGTTTTGAAAAGGGAAGATGACGAACGACACTGACGCAGGTGCAGGGCAGGTGGAGGTTGTTGTCAAGGATGAAGGGAAACCTTCACCCTCAGCTCCTCCTCCCCCTCCCCTGACCCCTCCCTGCGCAACGACGTAAGAGAGAGATTCAAGAGAAACTGCGAGAGCAACAGGCGCTACTCGCAGAAGCAGAAAGACAGGAGGCACCTGAAATGGAAGCTGCAACAGATGCCTCTCGCAAGGAGTTTCTGCTGCAGCAAGCTGAGAAGACTATGACAGACGAGAGAGTGGCCCAGTGCACCAGGTATCTGGCTGAGCTGGTAATTTTGCAAAATAAAATTGCAGCCAGCCACTTTACTAACAAGGACGAAAGAATCCAGCGTCTGGAGACCAGGATGAGCGACCTGGGAACTCAGCAGTCCAAGATCCTAGACTCGATCCAGAATCTGACTGCTCAGTTAACAGCCGCCAATCTGATCTCCCCTCTGGTCCCTGTGGTCTCCTCTCCCAAACCCAAAAGGCCTTCTCAGCCTCCGTCTCCACCTCCTGGATCTTCCCACTCCTCTCACCCTTCATCTCCCTCTGTCTCCTCCCAGGCCAAAGCCACACCTCCATCTCCTCCCACCTTTGCTGCTATTGTTGCTGGGGACCAGCGAGGCCCCAAGATCCCTGCCCCCAGCAAATTCAAGGGGGATGACCCCAAAGTTGATGTTGGGGATTGGGCAGCAGGAACCCGGGCATATCTGAAGGGGTTCCAGTGCCCAGAACAGCAAAAGGTGGCCACCGTTGTGGGGCTGCTGGAGGGTCCAGCCCATAAATGGGCTACTTCTACAGCTAGTGCCCAGCGGCAGACCCTGGAGGATTGGGCATTGGCACTGGGAGTTGATAAACTTTTGCAGGCCCTGGAGGAGAGGTTTGCAGACAAAGAGCGTGCCCGCAAAGCTGCTGATAAAATTGTACGCCTGGGCCAGCAGCATTACAGCGGCAGTCTGCAGGCCCTGTTTGCTGAATTTGAACAGCTAACTAACCTCCACCCCTGGATTGGTAATGTCTGCTGATGATCTGCAGACAAACTTTTGCAGGGCTGCGCCTGAAAAGTTCAGTGTTGCATTGTATAGCGCAGGGCACAAAGACTGGAGGTCTTTCGGCCGAGCAGCACTGGACATGGAGGCTAAACTTTATGTCCAGGCCCCTTCCAGTGATAGGAAGAGAGGCGCTTTCCCTCGTGGTGGTAGAAGGGGAAAAGCGGCCTTTGCACACGCAGGATCTGCGTCATCATCTGATGCAGGATCTCGGCCTGGTACACCGCCAGGTGGGACTGCAGCAGATGCTGTCACAAATGTTGCAGCGGCCATGCAACAGCTGCAGGCTGCTCTGGGGGCCTTCCAAAAGGCCGGGCCTACCTCCAGCACAGCCTCCAGCAGCAAGGGGAAGAGCCAGGGACGTCGCTCTTCAACCCCTGCCCGGCGCCCTAACTTGCCACGTGACGTCCGGTTCCCAACAGACCCCCTGAATCCCAACACCCTTCCCTGGCATGATTTGAAAATCCAGGAAGGGGTGTGGAGAAAGAGGAAGGAGAGGGGAGTTTGTTTGAGGTGTGAGGGACAACATTTTTTGAAGGACTGTCCCTACATGCCTAACCCAGCTCAGTCAAAAAACTGAAGCTGAACCTGGAGACTGCAGTTCCCTCCAGTGCTGCACCTGCATCAGCATCTGCAGCAGCTTCAGTTGAGACTTGCATCCTTCCCAGCGTGGGGACTGTACGGGCAGCATCCTTCACCTATGAGGATCCTGACCCGGATCAGGAACCGGATCAGTCTGAGTGTTAGTCACTTGCTGCTTTTTTCTTTCATATGAAAGAACAAAAGCAAAACAAGTCCGATCTCATACTCCTTCGGCCCCTGATCAACCACAGCAAAATCAAAGGGCTGCTGGACTGTGGAGCCACCCGAAATTTCATGTCCCCTAGTGCAGTCAAAAAACGGCATCTGGGCATGAAAGTGGTGCAACTTCAGCAACCGCTGCAGGTCAGGATAGGTGACTCCACTGTTCTGACTATCAGGGAGAAGGTCAGGGGTATCCCTGTGACCTTCGACAGTGCTGGGGAAGTCAGACACAGTCTGAACTTCTACATATTCCCTGATCTACCCTTTGATCTTGTGTTCTCCATGCAGTGGCTGAAAGCAGTCAACCCAAGGATCGATTGGCAGATCCCCAAGGTTGAACTGCCAAACAGCAAGGGGGTGTATCAGCCATGTATGATTGCAGCTGAACACCACCCTAAGACTTCTTGCTTCTGCCTGAGAGCGAGGGAGTTTTACGCTCTCTCACGCCAGTATGACCACGAGCGTCTGTTTATCGCGCTGGTCAAACAACCCCCCCACCTCCCTGTCCTCCTGAGATACAGCAGGTAGTTGACCAGTATACTGATCTGATGCAGGAGCCCTTTGGGTTACCCAACCGGCCAACCAAGCATCACATTGAGCTGCTGCCTGGAGCGGTCCCTCCCAAGGGCCGCATCTACAGGATGTCCCCTGCTGAGCTTGAGGAGCTCAGACGTCAGCTTGAGACCCTGACCAGCAAGGGCTGGATCAGGCCCAGCACTTCTAAATTCGGCGCTCCAGTCCTCTTTGTTCCAAAAGGGAGTGGCGAGTTCAGAATGTGCATCGATTACAGGGGTCTCAACAAAATCACTAGGAAGAGTACAGAGCCACTTCCTAGGATTGATGACCTTTTGGATATGGTCCAGGGGTGCACTATCTTCAGCAAAGTCGACCTCAAATCTGGTTACCACCAGATTGAGATGGCAGAGGAGGACGTCCACAAGACGACCTTCAAAACCAGATATGGTACTTATGAGTATCTGGTTATGCCATTTGGACTTTGCAATGCACCTGGCACATTCCAGACAGAGATGCACCGCATCTTTAGGCTTTACCTGGATAAGTTTATGGTTGTCTACCTGGATGATATCCTGGTATTCAGCAAAACTACCAGGGAACATGCGGAGCACCTAGCTCTAGTTCTTCAGTCATTACGTGACAGCCAGTTCGAGATTAACAGGGATAAGTCCTCTTTTGGAGTTCCCTCTGTCATCGACCTGGGTCACGTAATCTCTGGAGATGGTTTGGCCCCTGAAACAGCCAAGATTGCTGCTATTCAGGACTGGCCACAACCCCAAACAGTGAGAGATGTCCGGTCTTCCTTGGGTATGGCCTCATACTACAGAAAGTTCGGCAGGAACTTTTCTGCAGTGGCTGCACCCCTGACTAACCTCACAAAGAAAGACACTCCCTTTCTTTGGTCTCTTCACTGCCAGATGGCCTTTGCACGACTCAAATAGGCCTTGACTCGTGCACCTGTTCTGAAGCTACCTGACCCCACTTTGCCATTCGTCCTGACCACTGACGCCAGTCAGTATGGCATTGGGGCAAGACTTCAGCAGGATGATGGGAATGGTCTGAGACCTGTTGAATTCATGAGTAAGAAGATCAAGACTCAGAAGCTTCAGGACTCCACCTACGAGAAAGAGCTTTATGCTCTTGTTAGTGCCCTGAAACATTGGAAGCACTTTCTCCAGGGCAGGCACTTCAAGATCTTTTCTGATCATTCCACTTTGCAGTGGTTGAAGTCCCAGGGAGAGTTGAATGACAAGTTGGCACACTACATTCAGCTCATCGATCTGTTTGACTTTGAACTGAAACACAAGAAGGGCTGCTACAATAAGGTAGCTGATGCCCTCTCTCGTAGGCCTGATTCTTTTACGCTGATCTCCTCTACTCACTCCTTTGGAGAGGAGGTCCGTCAGACCATTACTCGCCTACTGCCTCAGGATCCGACTTATGGACCCATCGTCAGGAATCTGCAAGCAGATCCCAATTCTGAACCTGGCTATGCTATGAGTTCAGATCTGCTGTACACTTACGGCATAGGAGAGGAGCGTTTATGTATTCCTGAGGATCAGCAGCTGAGGACACTGCTGATGTCAGAGTGTCACGATGCACGTGGACACTTTGGGTTCTTAAAGTCGTATGCAGCCCTGTCGCAGCGCTTCTTCTGGAAGGAGATGCGGAGTGATATGCTGCACTATGTGGAAACCTGTGAGCTATGTCAGACGAACAAGGTTCAGCGTAAGCCTCCTCTGGAACTGCTCAAACCCTTGCCCATACCTGATGGTCCTGCACAATCTGTATCCATTGATTTCACAGACTTAGGCAAGACCACCCCTCGTGGCATGTGTCAGGTCATGGTCTGCGTTGACAGGTTCTCCAAATACGCAGAGTTCATCCCCTTACCAGAGGTGGCGAGGGTCCCGGCTGTGCGAACAACCTTTTCTGAGAGGTGGGTCACACACCATGGACCGCCCACTTCTATTGTTAGCGATCGAGATCCCCGATTCTGCAGCGATGAGTGGCAGTCCTACTGCAAGGACTACCTACACTCTCGACTGGACATGACCTCCGGGAGTCATCCTGAAGCCAATGGACAGGCTGAAGTGATGAACCAGGTTTTATTCCAGTTGCTGCGTCCTGTCATCTCACCAGATCAACATGACTGGGACCTCCATCTCGCTCGTGCACAGCTCGTGTATAACATGTCTGTCCACTCCTCGACTGGGTTCAGTCCCTATCGACTACACAGGGGGCGAGAGCCACGTCAGCCTCTCGATGATATCATTGACAAGGCTAAGACAGACCTGACCCCAGGCACTGCTGAGTTCACCAGACGCTATCGTCTAGATGTGGAAAGAGCTCGGGCGAACTTGTTCAAAGCCCAAAAGGCTATGATTGAACAAGATAATCGCCATCGCAGACCTTCCCCCATCCGCACTGGTGACTATGTCTGGGTGGCCAGTTCCGAGTTATCGAGAGAGGAGGACATTTCTCCTAAGCTGTTGCCACGATATCTGGGTCCGTGGCAGGTGTTAGATACAGTAGAGGCTGATCCCTTTGGTTCGTCCTACACCATTGATGTCCCTCTGTATCTACGTACCTGGTCTTCCATGCATCTAAGCTGCTTCCCTTCACTCTAGCTGATGCATTCCCTGACCGGCCCCCTCAATGGGGCCCACCAATCCCTGGCAAGGGATACGATGTGGAGGCCATTGAGGATGAGTGGGGCACTGGCCCCGACAGGCAGTATCTTGTAAAGTTCGCCTTCCAGCCCCCGACTGAGAATCGGTGGTACTACAGGAAGGACCTTCTCAAGACAGCAAAGTCTATTGTACTGCGGTATAAAGCAGCTCAGACGGGTAACCTTCGCCGTTCACCTCGTCTGCACCCCTAGCTCGGAGGTCCTCGCTCCTGGGGAGGGTAAGCCTGCAATGACTTGCTGATTTCTGCTGCTGAGATCGACTGCGAGGCTGTACACTAACCGGTAGGGTTAGTTTTGTAATTTTGTTTGGCTGAGGGTTAACCGAGAGACCTGCCTGTGAGGAAATTCGTGAGGGACAGATCTGCAATTCCGGGAAAATACAGGCCCGGTACTAACCGAATTCCTACAGCTAC